CCCACTGTGACTGATGCAACGCAGCCGCAGCTGATACACCAATAGGATTCCTAATGTCTCCACATGCAGTGACACATGGCCTGCCCTCTGTTTGATGTTTAGTGCAGACAGTTTCCATGTCTCCTATCCCTCCTTTCCTCTGCCCTGTATCTGGGCAAGCTGGCAGGAATCCCTGGTGCCCTCTCTTTTGGTGCTGGTTAGGGGGTAGGTCAGGTGTCAAACCACACACAGATGCTCTCACCAAGCCCCATCTTGATCAGGAGGGCAGTCTCAGGAAGTCTCCTTTCCCATTCATTTGTCATGTTTGGGTGTGTTTGTGACAACCTACCTACACCCATCCCCACCCCTCTACCCTCTATTTCAATGTTTGTGATTAAATTGAACTCACCTGGATAATACAGGATTATCTCCTTATTTTCAGGTCAGCTGAGTAGAAGCCGTCATTAATTTGCAACCTTAATACCCCCTTGCTATGGAACATGACATATTCATGAGTCCCAGAGATTAGGATGTGGAAGTCTTTGGGGCCATCATTCTGCCTTTCACATAGATCAAATCAGACAAAAAGAGTTCAAGGGTTGACAATGCAATAACTAAGATATTAGATATATGTGAACTGTGCAGCAAGTATCTAGAGAATATACCTCTATGCAAGACACACAATATTTACAAAAATAGACCACTGAACCCAAAGCATCAGTGTGATGGGGATTATGAGTTCTTATCATAATGCAATATATTTAACATTAAAAGGATACCTAAGAGAATCTCATGTTTGAACATTTAATAACATTTTAAAGTAAGGTAATCTTTGTGTAAGTGGAAATCTTGAGGAAAATAAAAAAGAGATATAGAATTGAATAATAAAAACACCATATGTCAAAACTCACAGAACACAGCTAAGGAAGTTCCTAGACATATACAGTCTTAAATACATTTCTCAAGAAATAAAGCAGGTGAAAACATAACTAATCATACAAGTCAAAAGCAATGTAGCAAAACATACACAAATTAATAAGAAAAAGAGAAATGATAAAGATTCTGACAGAAATGAATGAAATAGAGAATAAAAACAATATTAATAGCAAAAACCAAAGATAATACTTTGAAGTAATTAGTAAGATATATTGGCTTTGATAATATTAACCAAAAATAGGAAGCTACAAATAAAAATAGAGACTGAAGATAAAAAACTATAGACAGGAGACACTAAAAAAATCACAAGAATATTATAAGCAACTATATTTAAAAATTTGGAGTCCCAAGATAAGTTCAAAGAAAAACAAAATGCTAAAATTGACACCAGAAGAAAATAGAGAACTGGAGCAGATCAGTGTGTGCCCTGCCCCAGGTGGCTTTATGGTATGCTGGACCACATTCAAGGCATTTAATACTTAACTCACACAAATTGTTCCAGAACATAGAAAAAGGGCAAAAAAATTGGTGTAGGCTTGATTCTAAAACCAGCTAGGGACAGTCTGAGCTTTCACTCTTTCCATTGTGTGGGCATAGAACAAAAAAGCAAAACAGCAGGTCCATGGATGAAAAAATCCCAAGTAAAATATCAGCTTGCCAAATTCAGCAGTGTATATTTTTAAAACTATGCATGGTAAAGTGGTGCTTGTCTGTGATGCAAGGGCACACAACATCAAAAAGCTTGCCATGTAATTCACCGTATTAACAGACTAAAGGATAAAAAATTCTCAGGCAATGAAAAATACATTTGATAAGATCCAACACCTGTTAATGATATAAAACGGTGGTTCCCAACCTTTTTGGCATCAGGGACCAGTTCTGTGGAAAACAATTTTTCCATGGATGGGGGTGATGAGGATGGTTTCAAGATGATTCAAGTGCATAACATTTATTGTGCACTTTATTTCTATGATTATTACATTTTAATATATAAGGAAGTAATTATATAACTCACCATTTAAAAAAAACAAGCGTGGACAGAAGTGGTAAATAAAAAAATGGATGGGAACCGGGCTTGGTGGCTCAGCCTGTAATCCTGCGCCTTTGGGAGGCTGAAGTGAGTGGATTGCCCGAGCCCGCAGGTTCGAAACCCGCCTGGCAACTTGGCGAGACCTCATCTCTACATTAATCAAAAAATCAGCCGGGTGTGTTAGCGCATGCCTGTA